GTTACCGACCCGTCTGTTCCGGTCTCGTGTCTTGACGCTCTTGTCGCTGCGGTCGCTGACTTCGCCTCTACCCGCCGCCTTGAATATGCCACCGCTCTGGTCTCTGACCCTGCCTGTCCTCCGTCTGTCTGGTCTCTACCTCGGGACCTTAGGCCTCTCAGTGGATAGCTGCCATGGAGCAGGAGATGGCATCTTGGAGATCCACCGACACCTACGTCGATGCAGTTCCTCCACCTGGGGTGAACGTAGTCGATGGCCGCTGGCTCTTCAAGGTGAAGCGCCCTCCTGGAGAGCCGCCTATTTTCAAGGCGCGCTACGTGGTTAGAGGCTTTAGTCAGCGTGAGGGGGTGGACTTCTTTCAGACTTTTGCCCCGACCCCGAAGATGACTACTCTTCGGGCACTGCTACACGTAGCAGCACAGGGTGACTACGAGCTACACTCCCTCGACTTCTCCACTGCGTTTCTTCAGGGCAGTCTACACGAGCAGGTCTACCTGTGCCGCCCTCAGGGTTTCACTGGTACCTTCCCTCCTGGGACTCAGTGGCTTCTGCGGCGCCCAGTCTACTGCTTGCGTCAGGCTCCCCGCGAGTGGCACGACACGTTGCGTGCTACTCTTGCAGACCTTCACTTCTTTCCGTCTTATGCAGACCCCTCGCTCTTTTTTCGTTCTCGCCAGACTCCGTTCTACATCCTTGTTTACGTAGACGATCTGGTCTTTACCACTGCAGACACCACCGTGCCGGCCTTTGTGAAGGCTGAGCTGCAGAGGAGACACACCTGCACTGACCTAGGAGAGCTGTGCCACTACCTGGGCCTACAGATCTCCCGAGACAGAGCAGCGCACACCATCACTCTCACCCAGTCACACTTGGTGCGCCAGGTCCTTCAGAGGTTCGGTCTTCAGTTCTCCTCCGCACAACCCACACCTTTTCCAGTAGATCACAGGCTCTCGGCTCTTGTTCCTGAGGAGTCAGTAGAGCCCAGTGGTCCTTACGCAAAGCTGGTGGGTTGCCTTATGTACCTGATGACTTGCACTCGTCCAGATCTCGCATACCCACTCAGCATCCTGGCTCGCTTTGTGGCCACAGGCAGACACAGACCTTAGCACTTGTCTGCAGCTAAGAGGGTTTTGCGGTATCTCGCGAGTATATCACGCATGGGGCTAGTGCTGGGAGGACGCATGACGGTGGTCCTTACTGGGCACACAGACGCTTCTTGGGCAGACGACGCTGAGACCCTTAGGTCCTCGCAGGGCTACTTCTTCAGCCTTGGTTCAAGTGCTGTCTTGTGGAGAGCTACTCGCTCCTCGTCTGTTGCCTAGTCCAGCTGTGAGGCCGAGATCTACGCCGGTGCCATGGCGGCACAGGAGCTCTGCTGGCTGACCTTCTTGCTCACTGACTTAGGTGAGCGGCCTAGCTCTGCACCAGTCCTGTATGCTGACAACAGGGCCATGATCCTCCTGTGTCAGGAGCCTCGACTTGAGGGCAGAGCAAAGCACATTCAGCTGCGGTACTTCCTCCTGCGCGAGCTGCAGCAGCGTCGCCAGGCTCGCGTAGTACACTTGGTCTCCGGTGCCAACACAGCCGATATCTTTACGAAGGCCCTTGCGCCTAAAGATCATCAGCGACACTATGTACAACTCAGCCTTGTTCGTGTTACCTCTCACCTGCTAGGGCCTTGACTATGTACTGACCTTCATATATATATTTTATTTTTGACTGGCCTTGTGGCCTCTCCCAGTGGCTGGACTAGTAGTGCCGCCCTGGTCTTGCCCTTGCACTGGTCTGTACTTGTTTGACTGGTCTTTAGACCCTTGACTTAGAGGTTGGACTAGTAGTGCTGCCCTGAGTTGCCGTTTCTCTCTTCAGGAACTGCGCCTATGCAGTCTAGGGGGTGTGTCAAACATATATATAGTTTATGTTTGTGTAGACTGTATAGGTTCGTATATTAGAGGGTACAACACTTAGGCTTATACCCTTGTACTGTTTTCTCGCGACGTTCGATTCTATGTTAAGACATTCCTGAGAGTACCCGCTTTCTGGGTTTGCATTTTACATAACACCCTGCTCGTTTTTCTTGCCTTCAAACCAAGCCCCCAAATTGCAGACTTTTTACTCTGATTCAGACTTTTTTGAGATTTTTTTTGGGGGGAAGACTTTTTTTTTGTACTTGACTCAGATTTTTCAGAGAAGATTTATGTACCTACGCTGATTTTTCAGACTTTTTCTACTAGTGTACTCTGATGCCTCAACTTTGTATGGGTGGGCGACTCTGATTTGTGTAATACTGGAGGAGGGTGATCTAGCTGTGAGGGAAAATCAGATCACGCCCATTGGCCCTTCACGGAATAGCCACGTGGATGGCGCAATTTCCCTCCCTCCCTGCAGTTTTACTTTGCCCACCCCCAAATTCCTTTCCGCCCGCCCGCCCCATTTGTGCTGGCGCAGGGCCGGGTCGAGGGTGACGCGAAATTCTGTGTGCTGTCGCCATCACACAGATAGCAAGAGCACGCAAGAAGAGAAAGCCCTTGGATTAGGAAAGGGAAGGAGAAAATGGATATACAGAACACCAGTTTTATAATCAGCGTAAAAACTAATGGTAACTCTGAATAATCAGACAAAAAATCTCTTGTTACTCTGATTTTTCGGACTTTTTTTTGGGGGTGACTCTGATGGCCATACCAAGGGATGACAAGCAAGTCTGATGAATCAGACACCCCCAAATCCAATTTGGGGGCCTGCTTCCAACAGTTTTTCGTTTTTCATTACCAAGGTCCGCTCAGCTGCAAAAAACGAACAGGATGAAAATCGCATCAGGTGCCATTCGCAACGCAAAGACGGGCAGACGAATCAATAAAAGTGGCAAAATGAAATGGAAAGACAGCAGGTGTTAAGAGGATCTTGACCGTCCATCTTGCAGTTCAACCACCTTGATCACGTCAGCAGCAATGGTCGAGAATATCTCGATGTTAAATTATATATTTTGTTATATAATTGGTAGGCTTGGTATGTGTTACTGAAACCTACTGTAGAGGGTACAACCCCCCTCCTTGTATCCCTCTCTCTTCTATTCTCGGCCCTCTTTTCTCTCCTCAACTTTCCTAGCCTAAAACCTCGCAATTTCTATGGCTTCCTACCGTTCCTAGCTTCCTTAGTTTGACATGGTAACAGAGCACGTTCCCCTTCCTGGGCCTGCTCCCCCCCCCTCCGCCACGCACTCCTTCTCTCCCGCTCGCGCTGCCATGGCGGCCGCGTCGTGCTGCTGTGGCGGCGTCGTCGTGCCGTTGCCGTCTCGACGCGCTGCCGTGGCGTCGTGCCGTCGTGGCGTAGACGTCCAGCCGTGGCGGCGTGATGGCGACGTCGTGCTACTGTGGCGGCGTTGCCGTGTCGCTGGCCACGTTGGGCCGCGCCCGTCTCGATGCGCTGCCGTTGCGTCACGCCGTCGTGGCGTTGACGTCCAGCCGTAGCAGCGTGACGGCGCCGTCGTGCCGCCGTCGCAGCGTCGACGTCCCGCCGCGGCATCGACACCGCTCAATGACGGCGTCGTCGGGCTGCAGCCGGCCGTGCAACGCCTGTGGCGCCGTTAGAACTGCCGCCCGCTCGCCAGCCACGAGCGTGATTCTGGACCCCGCCCCCCCCCCACTCCTTTCCCTGCGTTCCCTCTTCCTTGCCACAGCCGTCGACTGCCTCGTGAGGGCCTTCTCCACAGCCGATGAGATTGGCCATGCCGCCGAGAGGGCGGGGGCCGCTGCACTCGCCTCTGACGTTGAAGCCGCCGCCGTCACCGCTGTTACCGCTGGCCTATTGCTGCCGCACGCCGCTGCCGCCGTCGCTCTCGTCACTGCCGCGACTTCCAAGCCTAGGGGGTGTGTTAAATTATATATTTTGTTATATAATTGGCAGGCTTGGTAGGTGTTACTGAAACCTACTGTAGAGGGTACAACCCCCCTCCTTGTATCCCTCTCTCTTCTATTCTCGACCCCCTTTTCTCTCCTCAACTTTCCTAGCCTAAAACCTCTCGCCATTTCTATGGCTTCCTACCGTTCCTAGCTACCTTAGTTTAACACTCGACTGCTTTGTGAAGCACGGAACTGGCTCTGTTCGCAGCGAGATTGGTCAACGACACGTGACACTACTGCTGGATCAATCTCCCACGATTTTCAGAGGCAAGGAAATGACTCTGTCAGAGTGTGCGATCTATGTAGCGGATTCCTCATTGGCAGTTGCTTGGCCTCAAAGTGCCTGTTACTACCCAAATTCATTTTGCATTTTACATAAGACATGGGCTTTATATTTTTCCAGCCTACTGTAAAAACCCATACGTTTAAAAAAAAAAAATAAAAAAAAATTTGACAATACCTGAGGGTGTTATATACGGGGGAATACGGTACTCACACTTCCGCCGTTACTGAAGCAGATTTTTTTCGCGCATATGACACTCTTTCCATTTCGCACACCCCCCTGCCCTCCGATTTCGCGCTTCGTAGCATCGAGCCCCCCCTCGTAGCGTTGGATTTGTTCGTGCGGTAGTCAGCAGGCCAGCACGCCTGCCCGCCCGCACGCTAGCGAGCTCGCCAGCCAACGTTAGCCAGCTCGCTAGCCAGCCCGTTAGCCGGCTCACTAGCCAGCCCGCGCCCGCCAGCGCCTTAGTTCGTAGCTGTCCCACCTCGCGCCAGCCCGCTTGCTCGCCTGCTCGCCAGCTCGCCAGCCAGAACATCCGAAAAATGACCCCCGCAACATTCACCCCACATGATGGGCACAGGTATCCGAGGGGTATCCCTCACGTGGGTCACCCTCGCGTCGCAGGTGTAAGGAATTTTCCATTCCTTACCGAGCGGTACTGCTATCGCGTACGCTCGATAACACCCAAAGCCTCGGGACTGTTCCAGACCTTTCTGACAGAACCACCTCGTCTTCTCCAGACCTTCTAGTTCGACCTTCGGGAGTTCTCCGGGCCTCGCTGCGTCACTTCGAGACCCTTTGATCTCTTTCCCGAACCTCACCATCGCATGGTTAGACTAGCTCTGGTGTTCCTATATCTTGGCTTGCTATTCCTTGTATCGTCATTCATTGAGTGAACACTTCGTTATTCATTTCCGCGCTACTCTGCTTGTTCATTCATAACACCTGGTAATCAGAGGCACTTTCCTCGCTCACCCGTTTTCGAGAAGTTGATTTTTTTTGGGGGGGGAAAGTCCCTCACGTAAGCTGCAAAGCGGTTGCTCGTGAATTAGACTGATTAATTTGCCCAATTACGATAGCGTTTACGCTTACCTGAGTACAAGCACATTACGGATTTCCCCCTGCCTCGGCGGAGCATTCGCCAAATGGACCAAGCTCAGTTCAACGAGCTTCGGGAGCAGTTCAACACCATGAACACGCGCATGGCTGCAGTACTGGAGGACAACGAGCAACTTCGTGCGGAAGTTGCTGAGTTACGCCAGGCGCGAGAGGATTCGCGTCAGAAATCTGCTGCCCAAGAGGAGGTCGCCAGCACCGGACGTGTCGAAACCGTCTTGGACAAAATCGCACGTGAGGTGTCACAGGAGCGCAAGGACAGTAAAGCCGCCACAGCAGCTGACGTGGCAGCACGAGCAGCAGCCAAAGCAGCAGCAGCAGCAGCGACAGCAGCAGCCGCTCGGTCAGAAGCAGCCGCTACTGTAGCCGCACCGGCGTTTATGCCGATCGTGAAGACAGCGACGATCAAACCGACAATGCCGCCCCCGTTCAACCCCACAGATAAGAATACTACTGTTACAGGCTGGTTATTTTCGGCGGAACTTTATTTTAATGCCGCTGGGATCACTGCTGACGATTTAAAAATCGGACTGGCTATATCACTACTGCGGGGACGTGCGCTAGATTGGTGGCGATGTACTCTACAGGATGGGGAGTTTTCGGCAGGCGACACACAGGGATTTTTCGGAAACTTTGGGTCTGCTGCCCAAGGGTCAACCGCGATTTTTGGATCGACCAAGATTCGCACGTGGAAGGCGTGGGGTACAGCTCTGCGTGAACGGTTCGAGCCAATATCCGCCTCGGACAACGCATGCACGAAGCTGGACAACTGGCGCCAGTGGAGTTCTGTCCAGGATTACGCGTCGGTCTTCATGGCGTTATGCGATCAAATCACCGACATGCATGACTCCGAGAAGAAAGGTCGATTCATTTCGGGTTTGAAGCAGGACATTAAATGCGAAGTCCGACTGCGACTTCCGGCGACGTTTCACGAAGCAGTCCGGATCGCAGACACTTTCGACGCACATCGGACGTATGCGAGAGCGGGTTCCCGGGAGGGAAATCGTTTTCGTGGCCAGAATCCACGGCCCACGATTCACGGCGTAGTGGCGAAGGAGCATATGGAAGATTTTCGCAAGGGACAATGTTTCAACTGCCACCAGCCGGGTCAGCAATCTCACGATTGCCCCCGAAAGAAGCAGATAAAGAAGAACGACGAAGGCAGGTCGGGAAACGCCAAGCGTCAGTAGCGATCGGGACCCCTACTGACCCTGTCTCATCGCCCGAAAAACACCATCCCCACCGAGTAGTGGTTCCGATACATGCTATCAACCGCTCCCGGCTGAATAAGGGGCATGATCCAGTGGACCACCCTGTACTGGCGGAGGGACGACTCAACGGGAGAAAAATAAAAATATTCATTGATGGCGGTGCGAGTCACAGTCTGATAAATCGAGAAATAGCACGACGGCTACACCTGACGCTGGAGAGGTGTCTGCCCGAAATCAACGCGCGATTGGTGGACGACACCCCACTGGCAATACGCGACAAAGTACCTGTCGTTCGAATGAAGTGTGGCGACGACTTTGGATTCAGCGCGCCGATGCTGGCGACAATGCTCAACGGCTACGACGTGCTATTGGGACGCGATTGGCTGCGACGATTCAACCCGCAGATCGATTGGACAACACGCGAGTGCACAGTGAAGTGCGACAAAGGCTGGCCAAAATTACCCACGTGGCCGGAAGCGAAGACAACATCGACACGCGTCAACGCAGTGTGCCTCAAGCGAGCGGTCAAGAATGGAGCAGATTTATACGCTGTCCATCTAACCGAATCGACGAAGCAGAACGAGGCGACCGACATCAACAAACTCTGCGCTTCAGTCCCGGATGACTTGGCGAAACTCATTCAGGAATATCCTGAGATTTTCCCCGACGACTTGCCAAGTGGACTGCCACCCGAACGACCCCAGGACCACAAAATCAAACTGGAGCCCGGCGCGCAGCCTACTGTACGCACGCAATGGCGCCTGACTCAGCCGGAGCTACAGGAGTTACGAAACCAGCTGGACTACCTGCTGGCGAAAGGGTTCATTCGGCCAAGCACGTCACCGTTCGCAGCACCGATCCTGTTCACGCCAAAAAAGGACGGCGGACTTCGCATGTGTACGGACTATCGCGCCCTTAATCGGGTAACGATAAAGTCGCGCTACCCAATACCACGCACGGACGAACTGATCGACAACCTTCGCGGAGCTCGCTATTTTTCGAAGATAGATCTTCGCGGCGGTTACCATCAAATTCGGGTGTTCGCTGACGACTGCCACAAGACCGCGTTTCGTACTCGCTACGGGTGTTACAAATACACGGTGATGCCGTTTGGATTAACGAACGCCCCCTCGACGTTTCAATTCACAATGAATGGGGTATTCCACGATCTAATCGACAAATGGGTGATAATTTACATGGACGACATCTTGATTTACAGCAAGACCCGGGAGCAACATTTGGAGGATTTGGAAGCGGTTTTTCAGCGGTTGCAGCAGCATCGTCTCATCACCAAGGGCTCCAAGTGCGAGTTTTTAGAACAAGAACTGGAGTTCCTGGGGCATGTGATCTCCACGGAGGGGATCCGGATAGATTCGAAAAAACTCTGGGCTATTCAGGAATGGAAACCACCAACCAATCTGCAGCAACTGCAATCCTTTTTGGGTTTCGTGAATTACGTACGGAGGTTTATACCCAACATGGCGGGGTTAACTGGACCTCTAACCGACCTACTGCAAAAGGGAACTTTTTACGAGTGGGGGGAGAAGCAGCAAGCTGCGTTCGAGGCATTAAAACATCTTTTAATGTCACCACCGGTACTTCGCATCGCTGACCCGGAACGGCCTTTGAAGTCATCACCGACGCAAGCGACATCGCCATCGGAGCAGTGCTCATGCAGGATTTCGGCAATGGGCTTCAACCAATTGCGTACGAGTCTTGGAAAATGCAATCTGCTGAGCGCAACTACCCAGTACACGACAAGGAGATGTTGGCGATCGTCCACGCGTTCAAAATCTGGAGGTGCTACCTGACTGGAGCAGACGTGACAGTGCGAACCGACCACAAATCTCTACAGTATCTGAGAGCGCAGCCGAATCTCAACCCGTGGCAGATACGCTGGCTGGACTATCTGGAGTCCAACATCACGTACAAGATCACGTACAAAAAAGGCGCCAACAATATTGCTGACGCCCTTTCCAGACCATCTGCCCAACTCGCAGCAGTACTAGTCGCCCAGAGCAACACGCTACTGAGTGGACTATTCACGCACGGGTATTTGACTGACCCCTTCTTCGTAAATGACAGCCATCTCCCAATCACTATACGGAAAGGTGTCTATTATTTACGAAGCGGGACTGATCGAATTTGGGTCCCAAGTTATCGTCTACTTCGCGAATTACTAATTCAAGAAGTCCACGATTCGAATTTATCGGGACATTTCGGGGTTGACAAAACTCTGAAGGCGTTGCAGCGGTTTTATTACTGGCCAGATATGGTGACGGACGTACAGCGCTACGTGGCCGCGTGTCCGATCTGCCAGCGAATGAAGTCATCACACCAGCGACCTACAGGACTGTTGCAGCCCCTCGAGCCACCTCAACGTCCATGCAACACGTAACGATGGATTTCGTTACGGGACAACCTGCCGAAGAGACAGCGCGCCTGTTCATCTCGACCGTTGTTCGTCTACACGGGATACCAGCAGCAATCATTAGCGATCGAGATCCGAAGTTCACGTCAAAATTCTGGCAGGACACGTGGGCTCGGTACGGCACGCGTCTACAGTTTTCATCCGTGTATCATCCCCAAACGGACGGCCAGACGGAAAGGACAAATCAAACGATGGAGCAGCTGATTCGGACAAACTGCCCCGACCGGAAAAAATGGGAGGACGTGCTGCCCATGCTGGAATTTTCCTACAACAACGCGCCCTCCGCTACGACTAATCACTCCCCGTTTTATCTCAATTACGGGATGGACCCTACAGTACCAGTCTCCACCAACGTTGAGAGTCAAGTACCACGATCACAGCAGTTCGTCGAAGAATTACAGACTGCCCGAGACAAAGCTGTCGAACTTATCCGCAAGGCGAACGCTACTGCCCGACGGTATGCGGATTTACATCGACGAGATATTACCATGGCAGCCGGGCAACTAGTCCTTTTGGACACCAAGAATTTACGCCTGCCACTACCGACGAAATTACGACCACGTTTCTGTGGCCCATTCAATATCATGAAGATGGTAATGCCAGTGACCGCCCAGTTGCGCCTACCTGATGACTGGCGTATTCATAACAAGTTCCACATGAGTCTGTTGCGACCCTTCGTTCCTGACACGTCGGACATCGCTCGACAGCGATTGGTCCCCGACGTATGGCCACCAGCCGAGCCAACCATCGAGCCTTCGAAGATCTTGAGCCATCGGATTCGTATCGACGGTCAAGGACGACACGTTGACTTTCTGATACGATGGACCAATCGTACCAGTGAGGACGACACGTGGGTGCCCTCAGACCAGATACAGTCACCTTCGATACTTGCGAATTATTTGGACCGCAAGCACGTGGCTGATATAGATCACCTTCGCTAAGGGGGGGGTTGGTGTAAGGAATTTTCCATTCCTTACCGAGCGGTACTGCTATCGCGTACGCTCAAACACACCCGAAGCCTCGGGACTGTTCCAGACCTTTCTGACAGAACCACCTCGGCTTCTCCAGACCTTCTAGTTCGACCTTCGGGAGTTCTCCGGGCCTCGCTGCGTCACTTCGAGACCCTTCGATCTCTTTCCCGAACCTCACCATCGCATGGTTAGACTAGCTCTCGTGTTCCTATATCTTGGCTTGCTATTCCTTGTATCATCATTCATTGAGTGAACACTTCGTTATTCATTTCCGCACTACTCTGCTTGTTCATTCATAACAGCAGGGCACCAGTCCCGTGTGTATCCCCTAGCCAAAACTCCATTTGTTGTTACCCGCAGGTGACCCTCGGTTGGTGACGTGCGTGAAACATCGTAGAGTCCCGCATGAAACTAACACCAAACCAACATGACTCATCAATCCGAGTCGCATCCGCGTTTTGGTCAACCTCCTCAAGGGAACAGCACGATAACACTACACTGAATATAAGTCGCAGTGCATATACAAATGTTACTATAAATTTTCGCATCCAAAAGGCATTTACTGTCAATTCAACCAGCCAACTATTTCTCAAACGTGAAGAGCTACGAACAACACCAGTTTATTCATATACATCCCAGACATGGGTCTGTAAACAAGGCCTGCCAAAATTTACCTCATAACTAGTTATAAACATGCAAGGTACAACAAAGTCAGAATGGTACAGAAACCTGTCTAGATAACATTTCTACTGATCTGGCTGCTGCAAACCTGCATCGAGTTGGTATTTGCGTGAAAGAGGTTAGCAGAAAAATAATTCTAAGGCTGAACATTTGGAAGCTTACACTTAGGCCCACAAAATAGTCTCTGTATGGCATAACACTGGACCTCTGAAAAACAAGGATTAGAGAGATAGCAGCAGGGCACGGGGTAAAAGGAATCGTACAACCACAAGGACAAACTCACCATTCCTTAAGGACGCGTCTGAATGCAGTGCAGCTAGACGAATCCACACAACGAACAATTGTATACTTCTGCTTGGGGTCAGGAAGATAGACGATTAGGCAATACGCAGATGACTAACTGGTTTGGAAAAGTAGGATGACAAAAAACACTTACACTTGACCATTGTGACATACCTGTTTTGAATACACGCTTCAGATGCACAGGAAGGTTGTCCAATAAGGTGACGGCTCGTTGTATGCAGCCTTAACCCTGGACGCACAAAGAGAAGCTTTAAGCTGAGTGGGTAGCACAGCGTACAGAGGACACTTAGCATCAGACAGCACGCATTTGTCCAGCATGCTGAACAGCAACGCTAAGACAAAGAGTTGGCACGGTAGTTAAAAAATACATGAGTTGCGTGAAACTGAGAGAAGTGCTAGTACAAAATGCGCAAAGACAAGGGCGGTGACAAGTACAAGGTGTTGATGGAACAATCAAGACAAAGGCTATGAGTCTTGAGTTGAGCTGTCAGTAAATGCGTGACGAGCAATGCAGTCAAAGCCAGGGACTAGATTGATGGGTCGTAGACAGTGTATCTGAAGGTCAACCTTATTCCGTAATGCACATGTTTTTCAGGGGCGTTTTTCTGGGCAACATGAACTACGCGTTCGTTTCTCTGGAGACTATTGCCGTAGCAGACGGAGCAAGCATAAAGAAGTTTACGCCCTACCCTGTCTCTGGAGGCACCCACGAAGCCAGATGGTTGGCTGGCGCTGGAGTGTGTCAATGCTCTAATTGGTCAGATGGTTATACCTGACCCATCATTTTCATACCCCGTTTAGCAGGCCCGTCAATAACAACAACCTGTCAATCCCAATTTCCATAACTTCCATGTTCAGCAGTGTATTCACAGCTGCCAAATGTCCAACCGAACGAGAATTCCAGACCTCGCGACGAGGCTTGCTATTGGTCCAAAAGTACCTACGGTTTGGGCCGAAGCGTCGTGATAAAAACACCTGACGCCAAGCAGATTCTCATCATATGCTCCGCATAGTGGCGAGAAGGAGCAAACGTTTTGGGTTGCGTAACAATTTCGCCCAACCACAGGGAATCATGCGTTACTGTTGAGGGGAAGTTGGGGGGATCAAACACGCGGATTGCTGTGGGTAACCCACCTTGCCATCATCTTTTTGGGGACGAGAATTTTGGGATGAACGCTCGCCAGCTCGCACGCTCGCCTGCTCGCACGCTCGCCTGCTTGCCTGCTCGCCCGCCCACCTGCTCGCTTGCTCGCCTGCCCGTGTGCTCTCCAACCCGCCTGCTTGCCAGCCTGCCTGCTCGCCTACTCGCCAGCTCGCCAAACCGCCTGCTCGCCAGCTCGTACGCTAGCCAGCCCGCCTGCTCGCCAGTCCGCCTGCTCGCCAGCCCGCCAGCCCACCCGCTCGACAGCTTGCACCCTTGCCTGCTCGCCAGCCTGCCAGCCCGCCTGGTCGCCAGCTTGCATGCTCGCCTGCTTGCTTGCTCGCCAGCCCGCCAGCCCGCCTGCTCGCCAACCCACCTGGGCGCCTGCTCGGCAGCTTGCCTCCCCGCCTGCTTGCCCGCTCGACTGCTCACCAGCCTGCTTGCTCGCCTGCATGCCAGCCGCGTCAGTATCCAGCGCTGGCAGCCAGTAGCCAACTCACTGGCTCACCAGCGCCAGCAGCCAGTGCGAGCTTGCCAGCGCCAGCAGCCAGCACCAGCTAACTCGCAAGCGCCAGCCAGCGCCAGCAGCCAGCAGTGCCAGCAGCCAGCAGTGCCAGAAGCCAGCGCCAGCAGCCAGCACCAGCAGCCAGCAGCCAGCAGCCACCAGCGCTAGTAGCCAGCAGTGTCAGCAGCCAGCGCCAGCAGCCAGCAGCGCCAGCAGCCAGTGCCAGCAGCCAGCATCCAGCTTCCTAACTCACCACTGTCTCCAGCGCTAGCAACCAGCAGCCGGCGCCAGCCGCTAGCCACCAACAGCACACTGCAAGCAGCCAGCAGCCAACACCGGCTGATGCCACCCACTGCCACTACCGCAGCTAATACTGCCCGCTGGCGCCCCGCTGTTGCCTACTGCTGCCCACTGTCGTTGCAGCCGCCACTCCCGCAGCCACTGCTGCCACCACTGCAGCCGCTGCGGCCGCTGTAGCCGCTGCCGCTACAGCCGCCTCTGCCTCTGCAGCTGCCGCTGCTGTTGCCCACCGCCAGCTTCGGCCTCCGTCAGCCCCCAGCTGCCACCACTCGCGGCCGGCCGCTGACCACCAGCCGCCAGCGGCAGCCGACCGCCAGCCGCCAATAATCTGTCGGCCGCCTGCCACGTGAGTCCCCCGTGCCCTGTGGACTGTCCTTCATCTTGTGCCGCCCGTCCTAGTGCCTCCTGGCTAGCTCCTTGGTGTACTGCTCCTAGTAGATCCTCTCACGCGTACTTCCTCCTCGTTTGCTCCCCACTCCTCCTAGCAGCTCCTAGCCTACCGCCAGCCGCCAGCTAGCCACTACTGCCATCTTACTGTCACTAGCCACTGCTGCTACTAGCCTCGTGCTTGCTGCCACTGCTCTGGCCACAGTCGCCACTGCTACTACCTCCGATTGTACTCATCTAGAACCTTTACCTCCCACTGGTCTCCTCCTTGTTTCTAGAGTTCCTCAATGCCTCTCCTCTCGGCATGACGGCTTCGTTCAGGTCAGTCCCTCGGCCAGACCGCCGGGCACTTCCCTCCGCTCTCCGATTTCTCGCCCACCGCTTACAGCTGGTGAGCCCGCACCTAGACTGCACACTCCTCGAGGATCACATTAGTTACCTCGAAAACTTCTGGCTCCATGAACTTGACGTCTGCTTCCGAGCTCTCTGGCTAGTGTCGCAGCAGCAGCAGCCGTAGTGGAGACTTGGGGGTGCTAAGCAAGGTGAAGGCTTTGGAGGTGCTGCCCTGGGGCGGTCACTGCCCTGGTGTGAGAGTACGACCCCGTTACACTTCTTTCTCATTTCCATCTTTTTACTCTATCTCATTCTTCTAATTATCCTGATTCCTTTGATCTTTATCACATCCCATTTGGTTTCCTATTCCCCCGTTCTCATTATCCTTTGGGTTATCCTATTATTATAATTACATCACCGACTAGGCTCGGGATGTACTGGCATGCTATATCTAGCGTAATCTTGCCGTAATCCCTTAAAGCCAATAGCCTCACGTGGCTATACGCAGGGTGATTCTATTTCTAGAAGGGTCTATTCCCTTTGGATAGGATAAACCTGGTTACCTGATGTACTTCAGAAGTATATAAGCGCCTTGTATCAATCGATAGTGCAACTTTTCCTCGACACATTCGAACCTGTGACACTTGGTAATCAGAGCCTTTCTCACTCAGCCACGCTCAGCTAAGCAGAAGCAGCGGGAAAACCTGCCTCGAAAAACCGCCGGGGGCGACTAATTTGGCGCCGACTCGGCTAAGCACTAGCTCCGCGTTTTTTTAATTAACCCCTTCGTACATGTTTTGAACAGGATGGCGATCTTCGACAACGCCGAGGTTACCCAGCAGCTCATCGCGAGCATCGCCGCCCTTCAGGAGGAGATGCGATCCGATCGCGAAGCTTGGCGAAACGAGTACGAGCGAGTAACTCGACTCGCTAGCGCACAGCACGAAATGACAACGGCGACGACACAGCAGCCGTAGCAGTTTCTCGAGGGTAAAAAACCGCGCCCACCTGATCTGTTCGATCCGAGTGATCGAAATTCCAACGTCCGCAGATGGATCGCCTGCATGGAGTTCAACTTCGCAGCCGTTGGATGGAGCTCGCCAGTATGGGACGGTCAACGCGTACTACTCGCAGCGACACTGATGCGAGGGCTGGCACTCGAGTGGATCGGCGGCAACAATATCTGACCTGACCAAAGGGGAAAAGGTACAGTAGTATCTCGCAGGGCTGAAGACCGAAGTCAAATGACAGGTAGCAACAACAAATTACGCGAGCTACGGTGCCGTCGTATCTGCAGCAAAGCGGTTTGACATGGACAGCGCCGGAACACGACAGGCGCACGTCGGCAGTACGTGACAGGGCGACCGCTCAGCTCACCCAACGTTCGCCGACCTGATGGAAATCGACAGGTTCGACGGGCGGTCACGTCTGAAAAACACCAACTACACGTGTGATTTTTGCGGAGTGCCAGGCCATTGAATCTTCGACTGCAACAAAATAAAAGCCGCATGACCAGAATATCGGGCACGCAACAGTGGCGGAAACTCTTCGGCCAATCAGAAGACAAAACGGAATTCGCTAGTGATTGCGGATCTAGCTAGCGAAAAAGAAAAGTTCCGAAAGCGGCCGCGAGATTCCGGGAAAATAAACTTCAACGAAGCAGATTCGACACGAGGAGGAAATTATGGGGAAAAATCTCCACCCCACGACCAGTCTTCGCCAGGGAAAATTGCCAAGAAAAAATATGACTCCGCGAAAAAGGACTCTGCCGAGACAGGGAAACTCCGAGAAGACCCAAGAAATTATAAGGATTCGTTAAAGTTATCTTATAAGGATGCTTTAATGAAAACTTATGATTCTCGAGGGGCGAGAGCCTTGGAGAAATTTCGAGAAGGACTCCAGAAGAAGCAGAAACTTGTGAAGATCGTGCCGGTACCGGAAGACTTGGGGACAAAATTAAGGAGTGTGGAAAGAAGCCGACCTTTCCACGGAGTCAACGTCCTCTCCTGGCACCAGCCCACAATAGCTACCCGTTCCCAAGGGAAGACGTCGGTGGAGCTGAAGCAGCTCAAGAGTAAGCTGGGGGTCTACAAGAAGCTGCAAAAACCCCGAAATCCTCCATCGAATGCATCCAGCTCAGCAAATTCGGCATCAACGACACACACAGTCGTCAAGAAGCTCTGGGTCCTGAGGGAGAGCCTTTCTCCAAGCAGCCTCAGCCAGCTGCTAGCCCAAGAGTAGATAACAAGAAAAAGGTGTGTATGGAATATTGGGATGTACCCTATGATCCTATTAACGAAACTATCTTTGGGTACTCCGAGCAACGCCTGCCCCTCGTGCTCGAGGTCATCTCCAAGGTACGACGCCTCCAAACACTCGTGGACAGCGAAGCATCACACACCGTATGTAACAAGGCAGTAATCGACCGACTTCAGGAAGAGTACAAGCCTTCAGCATTCTCTGTAACGATGGTGGACGGCAGCAAGTTACGAGTATACGACGAAGCAGTGTTACACCTACAAATCAGCCCTAAACCCTGGAAACCTGCAGTCCCCATCACCAACATAAAAGGGTTTGACCTGATCTTTGGGCGAGACTTCCTAAAACGATTCAACCCTGAGATCAATTGGGCAAATCATTCCGTAAGCATCTACAACAACGGAAGGAGAGTCTAGCTACCCAACTGGGATGATACAGAAGATATCCCAGTGGAGACACTCGCAAGATTCGAGAAGGACGTAAAGCGAACCGATACCGGGTTCCTGGCAATAACGACAGAGGTGGAAAACGACGGAGAGAAAACCTCGGAGCCTCCAGAACAAATCAAGGAATTACTGAAGGAGTTCCAAGACATTCTTCCCGACGACCTTCCGAACGAGCTGCCGCCATACTGAACGCACAAACACGAGATCGTGGAAGAACCAAGTTCGAAGCCGACCTTCTGAGCACCATATCAGCTCAGCCCCATGGAGCAAGCCGACATGAAGAAACAGATCGAGTATCTCCTCGCAAAAGGACTCATCCGACCATCCACTTCGCCATACGGTGCCCCAGTACTCTTCACACCAAAACCAGACGGAAGCCTCCGCATGTGCATCGATTACCGAGCTCTCAACAAGCAGACCATCAAGAACAAAAACTCAATTCCACGAATCGATGACCTGCTTGACCAGCTTCGGGGAGCCACGGTATTTTCCAAACTGGATCTGCGGTCTGGATACTGGCAGATACGAATGGCGGACAATTCCATCCACAAAGCTGCCTTCCGAACTCGGTACGTGTCGTACGATTATCTGGTAATGCCGTTCGGAATCACCAACGCACTGGCAACGTTCCAAGCCGAAATGAACCACATTCTATGCCCACTCTTGGACGAATGTGTGGTGGTGTATTTGGAAAACATCCTCATCTACTCGCCCGACATGCAGCAGCACGTCCAACACCTGCGACGCGTCTTCGACATTCTTCGACGAGAACGATTCTACGTCAAATTATCCAAGAGCGAATTCGCCCTCGAGAAAGTCCAATTCCTATGACACATGGTGAGCGCTCAAGGAGTTCACGTCAACCCCAAGAAGATCAAAGCCATATGCACGTGGAAGACACCCGAGAACGTAAAGGAGTTGCAGCAGTTCCTAGGCATCGCTAACTATTACAACAGGTTCATGCCACAATATGCGAAAATCGCAACACCACTCACGAATCTGCTGAAGAAGAACATGCCCTATAAGTGGGAACCAAAACATCAGGAAGCCGTGGAGCAGCTGAAACAAGCACTCACGTCCGCACCCGTACTCATCTTGCCAGACACCGAATGCGACTATGTCATCGAAGCTGATGCTAGTGACCAGGCAGTGGGAGCAGTCTTGATGCAAGAACAGGGGAATGGACTGCAACCAATTGCCTACCTCAGCAAGAAACTATATGGGGAAGAACTAAACTATCCGATACATGTCAAGGAGGCCCTTGCTATTATCGTCGCCTTCAAAACGTGGAAAAACAACCGTCTACACCGACCACTGCAGCCTGAAATATTTGAAGAAACAACCAAACCTCTCCAGGTGGCAGATGGATTGACTTCCTCGAGACGCACTTCCACTTTGACGTCGTGTACAAGCCTGGCTACAAAAATAAAGCAGACGCTCTTAGTCGGCTTGCACACGTTGCCGCAATCCAGGTTGAAAGGATTAACCCACTACTCAAGGAACTCTTCATACACGGGTACGCCATGGACCCTGAAATTCCTTTGGCAGAAAAGCGACACCTGCTACAGTGGGACAGTGGCATGGCATACCGGAAGGGATCAACAAAAATCTGTGTACCCAATTACCCTATATGCGGGTCACTTCGGTAGCAACAAAATGCTCACCGGTATTGCAGAGCACTACTACTGGCATGGAAGACAACGTCTAGAAATTCGTCACCTCGTGTGCTACATGTCAGCGGATGAAGAGCAACAAGCAGAAAAAGGCAGGACTGCTCCAGCCTCTTCTTGTCCCAAAACAGCCATGGCAAGTGGTTAGCTTGGATTTCATAATCGGGTTACCAACTACCACAAGCGGTCATGACACAATCCTCGTCGTCATCGACAAATTCTCCAAAATGGGACACTTCATCTCGACACACACAACAGCACGCACCAAAGAGACTGCACAACTATTCCTTCACTACATCATCTCACAACATGGCATTCCAACCACACTCATCTTCGACCGAGACCCCAAGTTCACCAGCAAGTTCTGGAAGGAACTCATGTCTCTGCTTGGGACAAAACTCGCCATGTCATCCGCCTACCATCCGCAGACAGATGGACAGACCAAGCGCCTCAACCAAATTGTAGAGCAACTCCTCCGCGCAGCAGGCAAAGATGAAATCTCTAAATGGGACTTGCATCTGCCCGTCCTGGAATTTGCCTACAACAACGCCACTCTCGCCATAAAAACCGACAACATCAGCCACAGTCCAACTGGCACACGACTTCATTACGACCATGCATCATCTTTGGGATCGGACGCACAAGTGCCTCCTCAATATTCAGCAGCAACAGAAGCGCCAGGCCGATCGCCACTGCACTGACCACACCATCACCGTGGGAGACCAGGTTCTAGTCGACACCCACTATCTCGACAGCAGTCATCTCCCATCCAAACTACGACCTCGCTTCTGCGGGCCCTTTCTTGTCGAAGCACTGGTCACTCCTGTTACCTTCCACTTACACCTGCCAGCCACCTGGAAGATTCACAACACCTTCCATGTCCAACTTCTAAAGCCATCTCGAGATCCGAACAGGGTCTTCACTGGACGCCAACCGCCGCCGCCGCTGCACGTCCTCGTCCACGATGAACCCAACTACGAGGTCGAGTCCATGCTCGCACACCGTCGTCGTCGGAATGGCACTGTGGAGCTTCTCATTCGTTGGAAGGGTTCTGATCCTTCTGAGGATAGTTGGGTTTCTGAATCTGAGATGGGTAAAGCTCGTCGTCCTCTTCGCGACTACCTTCTCAAGCAGGGTGTTACTTCTCCCACGCTGCTTTGAGGAAGGGAAGTGTGAGAGTACGACCCCGTTACACTTCTTTCTCATTTCCATCTTTTTCCTCTATCTCATTCTTCTTTTTATCCTGATTCCTTTGATATTTATCTCATCCCATGTGGTTTCCTATTCCTCCTTTCTCAGTATCCTTTGGATGATCCTATTAATATAATCATATCACCAACCAGGCTCGGGATGTACTGGCGCGCTATATCTAGTGTAATCTTGCCGTAATCCCTTAAAGCCAATAGCCTCGCGTGGCTATACGTAGGGTGATTCTATTTCTAGAAGGGTCTATTCCTGTTGGATAGGATAAACATGGTTACCTAATGTACCTCGGAAGTATAAAAGCGCCTTGTATCAATCGATAGTGCAACTTTTCCTCGACACATTCGATCATGTGACACCTGCCGACTGATGCGTCTGCCGCAGTAACCGCGTCCTGCTCCTGTCACTCCATAGGACACCCAGCCCTACTGTGGCACCACCGCTTAGGTCACCCTGCACTCCCGCGTCTTCGGCACATCTCCCAGCACGGTGTCATCACTGGTCTCCCTGCGTCGCTCCCCGCCCTGCCTACGTCGGTAGCGCCACTGTGCACGTCCTACGTCGAGGGCCGGCAGCGCGCCGCCCCTCACTCCTCCTCCTTTCCTCCTACCACAGCACCACTACAGACACTCTACATGGATGTCTGAGGCCCTACCCCGGTCCATGGTCTGAGTCGAGAGCGCTACTTTTTAGTCGTCGTTGAGGACTTCTCGCGCTTCACCACCGTATTCTCGCTGGAGCGGAAGGCCGACGTGCCTACCGTTCTCCTCCCGTGGCTTCTCACCTTTCGCACCCACCACCGCCTACGTGTAGGTCCCTTACACTCTGACCGAGGTGGCGAGTTTGCCTCTGGCACTCTAGGACGGGTTTGTCGTGCGGAGGGCAACCGCCAGACGTACACACTGCCGGACTCCCGGCAGCATAATGGGGTCGCTGATCGATGCATCGGTCTGGGGGTTTTGAGTCCGAAGGTGCTAGTCTTGGGGCTGCTGTTTCGCGGCGTTCCGGTGGCAGCCACGAAGCCGTTGGTGGTTCTGGAGAGGACAAGGAGCCGTTGCAGCCGCAGCAGCAGGCACAGCCACCGCAGTAGGAGTAGCTGCAGTATGCCCTTCGTCTCCTTGGTCTTGCTCCAGGTACCCTTGTCCGCTCACTCATTCCCCCTCGGATGCGTGACCCTGTTTACGGCCCGTTGTTTTCTCCTCCGGACTCCTCTCCGACAGTTTTTCCATCGCGCTCCCCTCCGTCCCGTGACTTGTCCCCCATTCCTCCTCGTCCACTGTCCCCAGCTCTTCCCCACTGGGTCTGTCGTCCCTCTGGTGCTCGTCCTTTCTCTCCCTGTCCTAGTGCCCACCCTATGGTCCTTCGTTCACGTGCTCCTCCAGTCACAGTCCTCCCGTTGCTTCCCCAGTCGTTGCTCCTGTCTTGCCCCCATCCTCGCTCTGACGCTACTCGCACTGCTCGTCCTACCCTCTCGCGCTTGCTTGTGTCGCTTGTCACTGACCCTATTGCTCCTCCTGAGTCTGTCTCTATGCTTGTTGCTGCAGTCGCTGACTTTGCTGCTAGCCACCGCCTTGACTACGCTGCTGCTATGGTCTTTGGTACTGCCAGTCCTCCGTCCATCGGGGGTGCACCTGCCCTTGGCAATGATATGCTAGAGGACAGGCAGTACGAGTTGGTCTACCTTGCTGCCGCTGTTCCCCATCTCTGCTCCATGCTTGTAACCCCAGAGGGCGACCCAGGCACTCTTGACATCCCTGTTCCTCGCTCTTACGCTGAGGCGGTGTTGGGGCCTTGGGCAGCCCAGTGGATACAGACCATGGAGGTTGAGATGGCATCCTACAGATCCATAGGCACTTACGTCGACGCAGTTCCCCCGCCTTGGGCGAACGTAGTTGATGGCATGTGGATCTACAGGGTGAAGCGCACACCTGGAGAGCCGCCGAATTTCAAGGCGCGTTACGTGGCTAGAGGCTTCAGTCAGCGTAAGGGTGTGGACTTCTTCCAGACCTTCTCTCCGACCCCGAAGATGACTACAGTTCGAGTCCTTCTTCACATAGCCGCGCAACGTGACTATGAGCTTCACTCACTCAACTTCACCACTGCGTTCCTGCAGGGTAGTCCGCATGAGCAGGTCTACCTCCGGCGCCCTCTAGGCTTCTCTGGATCCTTCCCACCTGGGACCGAGTGGACCAGCGCAGTCCTATAAACGACATTTGTTAGGCGCCCCTAGGGGCATCTAACCGGCTGATTACGGTATCTTGATTGCATTGTGGCTCTTGTTCCAGTGGCTGGACTAGTAGTGCCACCCTGGGTTGCTCTGTCGAGTGACCCGTTGGGGTTACCCTCAGGGAAGGGCCAAGGGTGCAGAGCCTGGGGGGCTATGGGCGCACTGACCTGCTATTCAGTGGTTAGTTGTTGAGTTCTGACATGCCCTTGTGTAGTTTGTGTTAGATTAGCAGACTGACTAGAAACAAGTGAGAACAAGGGAGATATAGGATTGGAGTTGTACCCTCTAAAAGCATAAACCTATCTAGCCTATTACTTCTACATACAAATATATGTATAAGTTGACACACCCCCTAGACTGGATAAAGGGCATTGCTGGGCAAGAAACACGCAGCTCAGGGTGGCAATACTAGTCCAACCTCTAAGGCAGGGGTCCGAAGACCAGTCAGCAAGAGTACAAACAAGAAAAGAGCACACCAGGGCGGCACTACTAGTCCGGCCACTAAAGCGAAGCCACAAGGCCAGTCAAAAACATAGAAATAAAGTGAATGGACCTCTACGAGATGGCACCTGAACCAAGGCTAAAGCTGTAGCTCTCGGAGGACCTGAGGGTCTCAGCTTCATTTGCCCAAGAAGCGTCTGTGTGCCCAGTAAGGACCACTGGCCTGCGTCCTCCCAGCAATATCCCCATGCCCGATGTACTTGCTAGATAACGCAAAACTCTCTTAGCAGCCGACCAGTGCTATGGTCGGATTCTGCCTGTGGCCACAAAGCGAGCCAGGATGCTGAGAGGGTATGCAAGATCTGGACGAGTGCAAGTCATCAGGTACATGAGGCAACTCACCAGCTCTGCGTAACGACCATTGGGCTCTACTAACTCCTCAGGAACTGGAGCTGAGAGCCTAGGATCTACTGGCAGATGTGTGGGCTGTGCGGAGGAGAACTGAAGACCGAACCTCTGAAGGACCTAGCGCCCCAAGTGTGACTGAGTGAGAGTGATGATGTGCGATGCTCTGTCCCTGGAGATCTGCAGGCCAAGGTAGCGACGTAGCTCTCCTAGGTCAGTGCAGGTGTGTCTCCTCAGCAGCTCGACCTTCACGGAGGCCACCGCATCTCTGTTTGCAGTAGCAAAGACCAGGTCGTCTATATAAACAAGGATATAGAACAGAGTCTGGCCAGCACGAACGAAGAGAGAGGGGTCTGCATAGGACGGAAAGAACTGCACGTCAGCTAGCGTAGCACGCAGCGTGTCCTACCACTCACGGGGCGCCTGTCACAGGCCATAGACTGGGCGCCGGAGGAGCCACTGGGTCCCAGGAGGGAAGGTACCGGTGAAGCCCTGTGGACGGCGCAGGTAGACCTGCTGGTGTAGGCTGCCCTCAGCGCTACTTTTTAGCGCTACTTCCGCTTAGCGCTACTTTTTAGCGCTACCCATGTAGCGCTACTTCCGCTCCTCACTAAAAAGTAGCGCTCGCGACACGGTCCAGGGACGGGGGCTGGGCCCCAGACGTCCAGGTGCAAGGTCTGGAGGGGTGCGGTGGCAGGGCAAAGTGAGGAGGAGTGAGGAGCACGGCGCAGACGGCCCTCGACGCAGGGCGTGCACGGCATCGCAGGGGAGGGAGGGAGGGCATGAAGCGACGCACAGTACCCTTCTATTCTAATACTTCGTTAGTTGGAGAATGCCGACATGTAGGCAAGGCTTTGCGACAAAATGTACCGTTAGACTAGGTTTACATTGTTAAAATACGAGAATAATGACTAGGAAGAGAAACCTAGAACATATACCTGTTGGGTTGTACTCATTAGAAGCACACACCTAGTCTAGCCTATAACTTCTACATAGAACATATGTATAAGTTGACACACCCCCTAGGCTAGATAAGGGGTGGAGCTAAGCAAGAAGCACACAGCTCAGGGTGGCACTACTAGTCCAACCACTGAGGCAGGGGTACGGAGACCAGTCAGCAAGAGTACAAACAAGACTAAAGCAAGCCAGGGCGGCACTACTAGTCCAGCCACAGGAGGTAAGGCCACAAGGCCAGTCAGACAGATATAAATAGTAGAGAGTACACAATCAGGGTCCTAACAAGTGAGAAGTGACAGGAACAAGACCAAGCTGGACACAGTGCCGCTGATGATCGTTAGGCACAAGCGCCTTACTAAAGATATCAGCTGTATTGGCACCGGAGGCCAAATGAACTACCAAGCCTGGCGACGCTGCTATAGCTCGCGCAGGAGGAAGTACCGCAGCTGGATTTGCTTCGCTTTGCCCTCAAGCCGAGGCTCCTGACACAGGATAATCATGGCCCTGTTGACAGCGTACAGGACTGGGGATGAGCTAGGCTGCTCACCTAAGTCTGTGATCAAGAAGGTAAGCCAGCGGAGCTCCTGTGCCGCCATGGCATCGGCGTAGATCTCAGCCTCACAGCTGGACTGAGCAACAGACGTCAAGTGAGTGGATCTCCAAGAGATAGCACCCGAACCAAGACTAAAACAGTAGCCCTGAGAGGACCTGAGAGTCTCTGAGTCGTCTGCCCAAGAAGCGTCTGTGTGCCCAGTGAGGACCACTGGCCTGCGTCCTCCTAGCACTAACCCCATCCCCGATGTATTTGCAAGATAACGCAAAACCCTCTTAGCGGCAGACCAAAGCTGAGGTCGGTATCTGCGTGTAGCCACAAAGCGAGCCAGGATGCTGAGAGGGTATGTGAGATCTGGGCGAGTGCAAGTCATCAGGTACATGAGGCAACCCACCAGCTCTGCGTAGGGGCCACTGGGCTCTACTGGCTCCTCAGGAACGGGAGCGGAGAGCCCATGGTCTACAGGTAGAGGTGTGGGCTGTGCGGAGGAGAACTAAAGACCGAACCTCTGAAGGACCTGACGCACCAAGTGTGACTGTGTCAGAATGATGGTGCGTGGTGCTGTGTCCCTATAGATCTGCAGGCCAACATAGCGACGCAGCTCTCCAAGGTCAGTGTAGGTGTGTCTCTTCAGCAGCTCGGCCTTCACAGAGGCCAGTGCGTCCCTGTCAGCAGTAGCAAAGACGAGGTCGTCTACGTAGACAAGGATGTAGAACAGAGTCTGGCCAGAATGCACAAACAGCGAGGGGTCAGTAGAGGACGGAAAGAACTGCAGGTCTGCTAACGTGGCCCGCAGCGTGTCGTGCCACTCGCGGGGAGCCTGACGCAGGCCGCAGACCGGGCGCCTGAGAAGCCACTGGGTCCCAGGGGGGAAGGTACCTGTGAGAGTACGACCCCGTTACACCGCTTGGCCCTTTACTTATTTCCTTCTTCGTTCATTTCTCTTTTTATCTCATCTCATTTGGTTTCCTATTCTCCATTTTCCATTATCCTTTGGTTTATCCTGTTATTATAATTATATCACCGACCAGGCTCGGGATGTACTGGCGCGCTATATCTAGCGTAATCCTGCCGTAATTCCTTAAAGCCAATAGCCACGTGTGGCTATCCGTAGGGTGATTCTATCTTGTAGAAGGGTCTATTCCCTTAGGATAAGATAAACCTGGTTACCTGATGTACTTTGGAAGTATAAAAGCGCCTTGTACTGATCGATAGTGCAACCTTTCCTCGAGACATTCGATCCTGTGACACTTGGTAATCAGAGCTTTTCTCACTCGACCGCGCTCAGCTAAGCAGCAGCAGCGGGGATCCTGCCTCGAAAAACCGCCGGGGGCGACCAATTCGACGCCGATTCTGGTAAGCACCAGCTCCGCGATTTTTGAATTACCCCCTCCGTGCGTGTTTTGAACAGGATGGCAACCTTCGACAACACCGAGGTTACCCAGCAGCTCTTCGCGCGCATCGCAGCCCTTCAGGAGGAAATGCGAGCGGATCGCGAAGCGTGGCGAAACCAGTTCGAGCGAGTAACTCGACTCGTCGGAGCGCAGCACGAGACGACAACGGCGACGATGCAGCAGTCTCAGCAGTTTCTTGAGGCTCTGAAACCGCGCCCACCTGAGCCGTTCGATCCGAGCGATCGAAACTCCGACGCCCGCAGATGGATCGCCGGGATGGAGATCTACTTCGCAGCCGTCGGATGGAGCTCGCCAGTCTGGGACGGACAACGTGTACGACTCGCGGCGACACTGATGCGAGGGCCGGCACTCAAGTGGATTGGCGGCAACAGTACTTTCATCCACGGTGAAGCCACGTAGCAGCAGTTCCGCGGCGACCTGCTGAAACGATTCGAGTCGATAAATTCCAGTTTCCTTGCCCGGGAAAAAATTCATCGACACCGACAGTTCGGGAGTGTAGCGCAGTACACGCAGCAGATGGAGGAATTTTATAACCGCATTCCCGACCTGACCGAAGGGGAAAAAGTACAACCGTACCTCGCCGGGCTGAAGACCGAAGTCAAACGACAAGTGGCAGCGTCAAACTACGCGAGCTACAGTGACGTCGTTTCGGCAGCGGAGCACTTCGACATGGTCAACGCCGGAACACGACGGACGCACGTCGGCAGTACGCGACAGGGCGACCGCTCGGCTCACCCCACGTTCGCCGACCCGATGGAAGTCGACAGATTCAAGGGGCGGCCACGTCCGAAAAACACCAACTACACGTGTGATTTTTGCGGGGTGCCGGGTCATCGAATCTTCGACTGCAGCAAAATGAAAACCGCACGCGCAGAGTATCGGGCACGCAACAGTGGCAGAATTCCTTCAGCCAATCAGAAGTAAAAAAACGGGAGTCGCCAGTAATTGCGGATCTAGCTGGCGAAAATAAAAAGATCCGAAAACGGCCACGGGATTCCGGAAAAATCAACTTCGACGAAGCTGATTCGACGCCAGAAGGAGGAAATGATGGGGGAAAATCTCCACCCCACGACCAGTCCTCGCCAGGGAAAATCGCCGAGGAAAAATACGACTCCGCGAAAAAAGACTCTGCCGAGACAGGGAAACTCCTTGAAGACCCAAGAAATTATAAGAATTCGTTAAAGTTATCTTATAAAGATGCTTTAATGAAAACTTATGATGTTCGAGGGGCTAGAGCCTTGGAGAAATTTCGGGAGGGACTCCAAAAGAAGCAGACAGCTGTGGAGATTATACAGGTACCGGAAAACTTGGGGACCAAATTAAGGAGTGTGGAAAGAAGCCGACCTTTCCACGGAGTCAACGTCCTCTCCCGACACCAGCCCACAACGACTACCCGTTCCCCAGGGAAAACGTCGGTGGAGCTGAAGCAGCTCAAGAGGAAGCTGGGGGTCTACAAGAAGCTGGGGGTCTACAAGAAGCTGCAAAAACCCTAAACTCCTCCTCCGGATGCATCCAGTTCAGCAACTTCAGCATCAACGACGCGTACAGTCATCAAGGGAACTCCGGGCCCTGGAGAAGAGCCGTTCTCCAAGCAGCCTCGGCCAGCTGCCAGCCCAGGAGTAGATAGCAATACAAAGATGTGTACGGAATATTGGGATGTGCCCTATGACCCAGTCAATGAAACTATCTCTGGGTACTCCGAGCAACGACTGCCCCTCATGCTCGAGGTCATCTGCAAAGGACGACGCCTCCAAGCACTCGTGGACAGCGGAGCGTCACACACCGTCTGCAACAAGGCAGTAATCAACCGACTTCGTGAAGAGTACAAGCCTTCAGGATTCTCTGCAACGATGGTGGACGGCAGCAAGTTACCAGTATACGGCGAAGCAGTGCTACACCTACAAATCGGACCACTGCGTTGGAGACCTGCACTCCCCATCACCAACATCAAAGGGCTTGACCTGATCTTCGGGCGAGACTTCCTGAAAAGATTCAACCCCGAGATCAACTGGGTGAACCGCACCGCAAGCATCTACAACAATGGACGGAGAGTACAGCTACCCAACTGGGACGATACTGGAGATATCCCAGTGGAGACACTCGCACGATTCGAGAAGGACGTGAAGCGGACCGACACCGGGTTCCTGGCGATAGCAACAGAGGTGGAGAATGACTGAGAGAAAGCCTCGGAACCTCCAGAAAAAATCAAGGAATTACTGAAGGAGTTCCAAGACATTCTTCCTGACGATCTTCCGAACGAGCTACCGCCATACCGAACGCATCAACACGAGATCGTGGAGGAACCGGGTTCGAAGCCGACCTTCCGAGCACCATACCGGCTCAGCCCTACGGAGCTGACTGACATGAAAAAACAGATCGAGTATCTCCTAGCCAAAGGACTCATCCGACCATCCACTCCGCCGTACGGTGCCCCAGTACTCTTCACACCGAAACCGGATGGAAGCCTGCGCATGTGTATCGACTACCGAGCTCTTAACAAGCAGACCATCAAGAATAAATATCCGATACCGCGAATCGATGACCTGCTTGACCAGCTTCGGGGAGCTACGGTATTTTCCAAACTGGATCTGCGGTCCGGATACTGGCAGATACGGATGGCGGACAACTCTATCCACAAAACTGCTTTCCGAACTCGGTACGGATCGTACGAGTATTTGGTAATGCCGTTCGGACTCACCAACGCACCGGCAATGTTTCAAGCCGAAATGAACCATATTCTACGACCACTTTTGGACGAATGCGTGGTGGCGTACCTGGACGACATCCTCATCTACTCGCGCGACATGAAGCAGCACGTCGAACACCTGCGACGCGTCTTCGAAATTCTTCGACGGGAACGATTCTACGTCAAACTGTCCAAGAGCGAATTCGCCCTTGAAAAGGTCCAGTTCCTAGGACACATGGTGAGCACTCAAGGAGTTCACGTCGACCCCAAGAAAATCGAAGCCGTACGCACATGGAAGACACCCGAGAACGTGAAGGAGTTGCAGCAGTTCCTAGGCTTCGCTAATTATTACGACAGGTTCGTGTCACAGTATGCGAAAACCACTCACGAATCTGCTGAAGAAGAACACGCCCTATAAATGGGATCCAATGCACCAGGAAGACGTGGAGCAGCTGAAACAAGCACTCACGTCCGCACCGGTACTCATCTTGCCAGATCCCGAACGCGACTACGTAATCGAAGCTGACGCCAGCGACCAGGCAGTGGGAGCAGTCTTAATGCAAGACCAGGGGAATGGACTGCAACCAATCGCCTACCTCAGCAAGAAACTACACGGAGCAGAACTAAACTACCCGATACACGACAAGGAGTCCCTTGCCATCGTCATCGCCTTCAAAGCGTGGAGATGTTATCTTGAAGGACGAAGAACAACCGTCTACACCGACCACTGCAGCCTGAAATACTTGAAGACACAACCCAATCTTTCCAGGCGGCAGGTCCGGTGGATCGACTTCCTCGAGACACACTTCCACTACGACATCGTGTACAAGCCCGGCCACAAAAACAAAGCAGACGCTCTTAGCCGGCCTGCACACGTTGCCGCCATTCAGATTGAAGGGATGAATCCACTACTCAAGGGACTCTTCACACAAGGGTACACCATCGACCCTGAAATGCCCTTGGCAGAAAAGCGACATCTGCTACAGTGGGAGAGTAACATCGCGTACCGGAAAGGATCAACAAAAATCTGGGTACCAAATTACCCTCCTTTGCGCCAGTTACTACTCGAAGAATACCACGACGTCCTGTACGCCGAACACTTCGGTAGCAACAAGACGCTCACCGGTATCGCCAAACACTACTACTGGCCCCATATGGCAGACAACGTCTAGAAATTCGTCACCTCGTGTGATACATGTCAGCGGATGAAAAGCAGCAAGCAGAAAAAGGCGGGACTACTGCAGCCTCTTCCTGTCCCAGAACAGCCATGGCAAGTGGTTAGCCTAGACTTCATCACCGGGTTACCACCTACCATCAGCAGTCATGACGCAATCCTTGTCGTCATTGACAAGTTCTCCAAAATGGGACACTTCATCCCGACACACACGACGGCAAGCACCGAGGAGACAGCACAGCTCTTCGTTCGTCGCATCATCTCACAGCATGGCATCCCAACCACACTCATTTCCGACCGAGACCCCAAGTTCACCAGCAAGTTCTGGAAGGAACTTATGTCTCTTCTCGGGACCAGACTCGCCATGTCATCCGCATACCATCCGCAGACAGACGGACAGACCGAGCGCCTCAACCAAATTGTTGAGCAACTCCTCCGCGCAGCCTGCAAGGACGACATCTCCAAATGGGACTTGCATCTGCCCGTCCTGGAGTTTGCTTACAACAATGCCACGCATGCCGCTACTGGACAGACGCCGTTCTTCCTCTGCTACGGACGCCACCCACTCACACCACAGAAACCAACAACATCCGCTACGGTACAACGTGCACATGATTTCATCACAACCATGCATCAGCTTTGGGATCGGACCCATAAGCGCCTCCTTGACATTCAGCAGCAACACAAGCGCCAGGCCGATCGCCATCGCAACGACCACACCATCACGGTGGGAGACCAGGTGCTTCTTGACACCCGCAACCTGGACATCAGCCACCTCCCATCTAAACTTCGACCTCGCTTCTGCGGGCCTTTTCTCGTTGAAGCACAGGTCACTCCTGTTACCTCCCGCTTACGCCTGCCAGCTACCTGGAAGATTCACAACGCCTTCCATGTCGAGCTTCTGAAGCCCTACCAGGATCCGAACACGATCTTCATCGGACGCCAACCGCCGCCGCCGCCGCCCGTCCTCGTCCACAATGAACCCGAGTACGAGGTCGAGTCAGTGCTAGCACACCGCCGACGTCGGAATGGCACCGTGGAGCTTCTTATCCGTTGGAAGGGTTATGATCTTTCTGAGGACAGCTGGGTACCTGAGTCCGACATGGGTAACGCCCGTCGTCCTCTGCATGACTACCTTGTCAAGCAGGGTGTTACTTCTACCACCCAGCTTTGAGGGGGGGAAGTGTTAGAGTACGACCCCGTTACACCGCTTGGCCCTTTTCTTATTTCCTTCCTCGTTCATTTCTCTTTTTATCTCATCTCATTTGGTTTCCTATTCTCCATTTTCCATTATCCTTTGGTTTATCTTGTTATTATAATTATATCACCGACTAGGCTCGGGATATACTGGCGCGCTATATCTAGCGTAATCCTGCCGTAATCCCTTAAAGCCAATAGCCTCGTGTGGCTATACGCAGGGTGATTTTATCTTCTAGAAGGGTCTATTCCCTTAGGATAAGATAAACCTGGTTACCTGATGTACTTTGGAAGTATAAAAGCGCCTTGTACTGATCGATAGTGCAACCTTTCCTCGAGACATTCGATCCTGTGACAGTACCAGTGAAGCCCTGTGGTCGGCGCAGGTAGACCTGCTCGTGTAGGCTGCCTTGAAGAAAGGCAGTAGTGAAGTTGAGGGAGTGAAGCTCGTAGTCGCGATGTGCTTCTACGTGTAGCAGCGCCCGAAGAGTGGTGATCTTCAGGGTCGGGGCGAAGGTCTGGAAGAAGTCAACCCCCTCGCGCCGACTGAAGCCTCTGGCCACGTAGCGCGCCTTGAAGACAGGCTGCTCTCCAGGGGAGCGCTTCACCTTGAAGAGCCACCGACCATCGACTACGTTCACCCCAGGCGGGGGAACTGCTTCAACGTAAGTGCCGGTTGACCTCCAAGATGCCATCTCCTGCTCCATGGCAGCTATCCACTGAGAGGCCCAAGGTCCCGAGGTGGCCTTAGCGTAAGTGCGAGGGGTAGGGATGTCGAGGGCGTCAGGGTCACCCTCAGAGACTAACAGCATGGAGCAGAGATGGGGAGCGGCCTCGGAAAGGAAAGCAAGCTCGTACTGCCTATCCTCTAGAACGTCACTGCCAAGGGCAAGAGCACCCCCGACGGACGGAGGATGGGCAGGGTCAGAGACCAGAGCGGTGGCATAGTCAAAGCGGCGGGTAGAGGCGAGTCAGCGACAGCAGCGACAAGCACGTCAAGGTGCGAGACAGGAACAGAAGGTTCGGTAACAAGTGAGGCAAGAACCTGAGGGACAAGGGGAGGAGCGGCGCGGAGGTAGTCAGACAACGGAGGAGGTGCAACAGTAAGCGACGAGGGAGGAGGGGGCGGGAGGAGGGGAGGACGAGACAAGTGGGAATGGAGCAACATGGGGTGGGAGCGCAGGACAGGAGAGACGGGACGAGCACGGGAGGGATGGCGAGACCAAACGTGGGACAGAGGTGTAGGGTCAGGAGACAGCGGAGGGGACACAGGAGGGGAACGAGGAGGAGGACAGGCCGGAGACGAGTCCGGCGGCGGGAACACAGGACCGTAAACAAGAAAGTTAGGAGGTGGTTGGGGAGACACCGGCAAGCGGTCTGGGGAGGGAAGGCCGAGCAGGCGGACAGCGGAGACCGGCGGTGACGGCTGCTGGGCCGGAACCCTCGGACTGGTAGGACGACCGCCGGCAGAACACTCAACAGCAGCACCCCCAAAGCCAACACCCCCAGAACGAGAACCCCCTCCAACACCAGCGGCACCCCCAGGGGCCGCAGGACGAACACCCTCCTCAACGCCAGCACCCCCAGAGGCCAATCGCGGCGGCTGCAGTGGCAGTGGCAGCGGCGGTGGCGGCGACGGAGGTGGCGGCTGCGGCGTAGTCAGCGACTGCGACAGTGGGGGCAGAGACAACGAGGGAGGGGGACGCGGCAAGGATGGCCCGGGGGTACCACCAGAGTCAGCAGACTCCTCAACGGGGACAACCGACGGGAGGGGAGTGACATGAGAGACACCAGAGGGGGCAGGACGAGGCGGGATAGGAGCAGGGGCTACCGGGGGAGAGGGAGCAAGGAACAGGGGCGGGGCAACCGGGAGACCTCGGTAAGGGAAGCGGTGGTAGAAGGAGACAGACTCATCAAAGGTGACGTCACGAGAGTGGAGGAAGCGGTGAGACGGCGGGTGGTAGAAAAGCCAGTCAGACGAGTCAAGGGGAAAACCGAGGAAGACACAGGGGACAGTGCGGGCAGTGAGCTCGTCCGTGCCAGAGGCACGAACGTGAGCAAGGCAGCCCCAGACGTGGAACACAGACGTGTCACTAGGGGACCCGGTCCAGAGGAGGGTCGGTTTAAGCTGGGAGTGTGGCCACAAGTTAAGCTGGTGAGCAGCGTAGCGAACAGCGAACGGCCACAGAAAATGGGGGGCATCGGCATAAATCATGGAGGTACGGGCGACCTCCATGACCAAGCCGATGCGGCGCTCAGCAACCCCATTCTGCTGTGGGGAGTCCGGCAAGGTGTACGACTGGGTGATGCCCTCCGCACGACAGAACTGTCCAAGCCGACCAGAGGCGAACTCGCCGCCACGGTCAGAGTGGAGACACAACACGGGGAGACCGCGGTGGAGACGCGCAGCCACAACCCACGGGAGAAGAACGTCGGGCACGTCGGCCTTCCGCTCCAGGGGAAACACCGTGGTGTAGCGCGTGTATTCCTCGACGAGCACAAGGAAGTAGCGCTCACCACGCGGTCTGGGGACATGGGCAGGGCCCCAGATGTCCAGGTGCAGGGTCTGAAGGGGGGCAGTAGCAGGGCGCATCGAGGAGGAGTGAGGGCACGGCAGTGCCAGCCCTTGACGCAGGGCGTGCACGGTGGCGCAGTCGAGGGGGAAGGGCAGGGAGCGACGCGGGGAGGCCTAAGACAAGACCGTTCTGGGACATGTGACGCAGACGAGGGAGAGCAGGGTGACCTAAGCGGTGGTGCCACAGAAGGGACGGGTGAGTGAGGGACCGACACGAGCAAGCTGCAACAACCTGGGAGGACGCACCAACCGGGGGGGAAGCGGTGTCTAGGGTGAACGGACCGGACACCGGGTCCCGGGGGAACGTCGCAAGGGGGGAACCTGAGACAGCCTCAGAACAGACAGTGAACCGCTCGTGCCCGCGAAACGTAGTGGTGACGCCGAGGTCCTGGAGACAGCCGACACCAACCAGGTTCTGCGAGAACGAGGGAACGTGGAGGCCTGTAAGGGAGCCCGAGGGAACTGCGGGATAGGGAAGGGAAGTGGAGCTGCGAGCGACGACAGGACCCGCAGAGGGGTCAGCGAGAGAGGCGACAGTAGGCGCAGAAAGTGGCGTGAGCGTAGAACGGTCGCGGAAGAAACAGGCAGAAGCACCGGAGTCGAGAGTGAAGGACAGAGAAGCAGTGGCGGAGGCTGGGAACGGAGCCGGTGCAGAGACTAGGCTAGGCAAACTAGGCAGTCCTACACCTGACGCAGCGGGGAGGCTAAGCTACACAAGGGTGCAAAACCTAAACTAGAGTACACAGGGTAGTAAGATCCAGCAACACTAGAAGCGTCAGAATACAAGGCATGCAAAGCAGCACCTATCTGATCCATGTCTAACTCAAAGATCGGCATGCCCTGGCGGAGCAGGCTGTGTCAGTCGGGGAGGTCCGGGGCCGGGCCAAAGCGACGACGAAAGAGATCGTCGAGGCAGCGGAAACAGCGGGCAGTCGGGTGCGGGCGGCGGCATAGAGTGCCGCGGAGAGGCCCGGTCTGAAGCTGGTACTGGCAGGTCACACCACCACAGCTGCCAGGAGACGCCAAGCTGCGCGGGCCGCCACCACGGCTACCACCCACGGAGGTGCCGGGCCATCCTGGGGGGAGACGAGCCCACGGCTGGGGCTGGGACAGTTGCGGGGACGACTGCGACTGCTGCGACGGCTGCGGCGGCTGCTGCTGCTGCTGGGGCGACGGCTGCTGCTCCTGACTAGCTGCAGCAGTCCCCTCAGTAGAACCACTGTCCCCAGCACCACCACCACCACCACCAGCTTCACCACCATGCCCGCCTTGGCGGCCACGACCGGCGCGGCGCTGGCGCTGCTGCGAGTGCATGGCAGCGGTAGTCTCGGTCAGAGGGGTCGCAATGGCGACCGCAGCCGAAACGTCAGTAAACGTGCACTAGGAGGGGCACAGCCGTGAAAGATAGAGACTGCCGGTGCACCGCTCGACTGAGCAATAGTGCGCTGGCGAGTCTCGATCTTGGTCAGGCGGTGACAAAGGCTGTCAGGGTGAGGTCACCGAGGTGCTGGCTAAGGATGTGGTCGCGGGCACTAGCAAGGCGGTCAGGCTGGCGCATAGCGATAAAGTAGAGGGTCATGCAGAAGGGGGGAGGGAGCGCAGCGAACTGGGCAGCAGTGCTAGCAGTGCGGTAGCGAGACTCGAGGGCGCGCAGGTGTGTGGCAAGGTCAGCAACAGTAGGGAAGGAAGCAAGGTCTGGGAAAAGCATAGGAAATAGCAGGCGGCCTGCAGTAGCAGAGGCAGGCGTGGAATAGCGAGCAACTACAGCATCTAGGTAAGCCTTGGCTGTATCAACTGTAGCAAAAACGCGAACGCTCAGGCACAGGGAGGGGAACAGGTGCAGGGGGGCGAGGGAGCAAGCCATCAACATGGACAACCAAGGAGTGCCCATCCTGACGCTGACCTGTGAGGTGACGGCGGAGATCGGACAGCCAGCGGCGAAGTCAACCGCGTGGCCCTCAGCATCCAGGCGGAGGACGAAGTCAGCCATCATGCAGAATCAGCGACACAGGGACATAGCGGCACAGCTCCACAGGACTGCGACAAGACGCTTCAGCTCGGTAAGCAGACGACACAAGCCGTAGGAGCCGGGCGGCACGGGGAGTTGCGGGCCGCAGGAGCCGGGCAGGCGTGTCGGGGCCGGGAAGGCAGTAGGAGAGGCCGGGCGGGCGCTGTGAAAGGGCCGAGCAGGCGCTAGGAGGGGCCATGCGGGCGCGAGGAGGGGCCGGGCGAGCGCTAGGTGGGGCCGAGCAAGCGCTAGGTGGGGCCGAGCAGGCGCTAGGTGGGGCCGGGCGGACGCTAGTGGGCCGAGCGGGCGCTAGGTGGGGCCGGGCAAGCGCTAGGTGGGGCTGGGCGGGCACTAGGTTGGGGCCGGGCGGGCGCTAGGTGGGCCGAGCGGGCCCTAGGTGGGGCCGAGCGAGCGCTAGGTGGGGCCGGGCGAACGCTAGGTGGGGGCCGGGCGGGCACTAGGTGGGGCCGGGCGGGCGCTAGGTGGGGCCGAGCGGGCACGGTGGGGCTAGGCGAGCGCGGCGGGGCCAGCGGCGCGGTGGGCCACGCGGCGCGACAGGGCCATCCGAGCGCGTCAAGGGCCAGGAGGGCGCTACGGGGCCTGGAGGCGCGTCGGGGCCAGGAGGCCTACGGGGCCAGGAGGGCGCAACGGGGCCAGGAGAGCGCGACGGGCCTGGAGGGCGCGACGGGGCCAGGAGGCCGACGGGGCCTGGAGGGTGCGACTGGGGCCAGGAGCCACTACAGGCCAGGAGGCGCGACGGGGCCAGGAGGGCGCGACGGCCTTGAGGCGTGACGGGGCCAGGAGGCGC